TTAGGGTTTAGGGTTTTCACTCAATTGGGATAAGGGTTTTTGGTTTAGGGTTTTGGGATTTAGGGTTTAGGGTTTTAGGGTTTTAGGGTTTAGGGTTTAGGGTTTAGGGTTTTAGGGCTTAGGGTTTAGGTTTTATGGTTTTTAGGGTTTAGGGGTTAGGGTTTAGGGTTTAGGGTTTTTGGGGTTTGGGGTTTGGGGTTTTAAGGGTTTAGGGTATGGTTTAGGTTTTTTAGGGTTTAGGGTTTTGTGTTTAGGGTTTTGGTTTTAAGGTTTGGGGTTTTAGGTTTGGGGTTTTAGGTTTAGGGTTTAAGGTTTAGGGTTTTAGTGTTTAAGATATAAGGTTTTTAGGGTTTTGAGATTTTAGGGATTAGGGTTTAGTGTTTTTAGGGTTTATGGTTTGGGGTTTATGATTTAGGGTTTTTAGGGTCTAAGGCTTAGGGTTTAGGGTTTTAGGGTTTAGGGTTTTTAGGGGGTTTAGGGTTTTGTGTTTTTAGGGTTTTGGGCTAAGGGGTTTTTGGGGTTTAAGGTTTAGGGTTTAGGGTTTAGGGGTTTTAGGGTTTACGGTTTAGGGTTTTATGGTTTAGGGTTTGTGGTTAAGAATTTTAAGGTTTAGGGTTTAGGGTTTAGGGTTTTAGGGTTTAGGGTTTAGATTTGGGGTTTAGGGTTTTTAGGGTTTAGGGTTTAGGGGGTTTTTACGGTTTAAGGTTTTTAGGGTTTTTATGGTTTAGGGTTTTTAAGGTTTAGGGTTTAGGGTTTAAGAGTTTAGGGGCATACATTGCACTTTGTATTTTACATACATTGCAGTATGTATTTTCATATCTAACATGTATACTTTTATATTTTCATTATTTATTCAGGGTTTAGGGTTTAGGGTTTAGGGGTTTTAGGGTTTAGGGTTTAGGGTTTTATGGTTTAGGGTTTGTGGTTAAGAATTTTAAGGTTTAGGGTTTAGGGTTTAGGTTTGGGATTTTGGGGTTTAGAATTTGGGGTTTAGGTTTGGGATTTTGGGGTTTGGGGTTTAGGGTTTTAGGTTTTTGGTTTATGGTTTAGGGTTTAGGGTTGGGTTTAGGGTTTAGGGTTTATAGGGTTTAGTGTTTAGGGTTTTTAGGGTTTAGGGTTTAGTGTTTAGGGTTTAGGGTTTTGGAATTGGGGTTTAAGGTTTAAGGTTTTTGGGGTTCAGGGTTTAGGGGTTAGGGTTTAGGGTTTTTAGGGTTTAGGGGTTTAGGGTTTAGGGTTTAGGGTTTAGGGTATTAGGCTTTAGAGTTTAGGGTTTTTTAGGGTTTAGGATTTTTAGAGTTTTTAGAGTTTTAGGATTTTAGGGTTTAGGGTTTAGGATTTTTAGAGTTTTTAGAGTTTTAGGATTTTAGGGTTTTAGGATTTTAGGGTTTAGGGTTGAGGGTTTTTACTGTTTGTAGGGTTTAGGGTTTAGGGTTTTTAGGGTTTAGGGTTTAGGGTTTATTGTTTTGGGTGTAGGGTTTTGGATTTGGGGTTTAGGGTTTATGGTTTTTGGGGTTCAGGGTTTAGGGTTTAGGGTTTTTGCGGTTTAGGGGTTTAGGGTTTAGGGTTT